TGGAACATTTTAGCACATATGAACGATAAGGGCTTTTCAGTGAACGATTTACAATCTTACCTATTCCTGCCCTTCGCACTGCAGACGAGTACCGACTTCCCGGCTTTTCGTCCCCGCTCCACAAGGTCGCAAAACTGATCGAACAACACAGTCATGTTGATTTTCGACTGAAGAACTTTATTACATTTGGATTGGTATGGAATAATTTCAAATTTGCGATAGTGGCTGGTGACCGTGAAATGATGGTGAGGCGGATGGGTGGGAAGGTGAACAAAGGACACAAATTTCCAAGTGGTGTTGACCAGAGGCTTTACATCATTACTCGAGCGGTCAGCGATGACCTATGAAAATGCAAGAGGTTATGTGGGAAGGTAGTGCGGTCCGGAGTGGACAACCCTGTGCCAGTTTCGCGGCGGAAAGTTGTACGGTAAAGGGATTAAGGCGCAAAGTTGCTTCAGTGGTACATCCCTTTTCCAGTGACTCCGCCTCCAAAGTCGGCCTTCCAGCCAAAAGTAATGCTCCCGGGCAAGTATCATGGAGTGGATGCATTCAATGTCTCTTGTAGAGTCATAGGGTTCATTACTGGGAATCAGCCGACGGGAATTGTCCCAGCGCGCGGTCTTTTCGGTCTTTTACCTCTACAGTTGTTTGAGGCTAGAGGAGGCCTGACGAAGAATTCCAACGTTTCCTTTGGCATTTTCTCTTCATAGATGGTTCACTTGGCCAATTTTCTTCACATTTCTGCAAAATCACCTAGGCTTTTATCGAAGACCGTGCCTCTAAAAGCGAAATATCACTGAAAGGTGTCGCAAGTGGGCATTCCCATTGATCCGATCAAAAGGATTCCAGCGCTTGAAAGTCCAGTAAACTCACTATTTCGAGTCGAAGGTATGGTTTCCGAGCAGTTTTGGACCCTTACAACTGATTCTAGGCACTTTGGGTACCGTACTAAACCACATTTGGCAAAACTGCAAGATAAGAATGGACTGCAACATCTTCCCCATAATTTTGCCTAACACTAGAGGAAAAGGGTTTAAGTTTCTTCAACAGCCTCATTCTTTGGTTGGGCGTAACACTTTAACATTTTGGCATTTCAGGGGAGGAGGAGGACTGCGGAGTATTTGAGAATCATGCACTTTCTAGTAGTCTCTTTTTATAAAATTAGAATGATGGTAGCTTAATGTCCTATCCCATAAGTCGCTTGAACGGCGTCGTCAAAGGTTCACCTGACGTATATGATGGATTGTTTGCATTTTTAAAAAAATATTTGCGCTTTCATCCCCGTTTTAAAACGTGCAGCGACAATATTAATTAATAATTTCTTACTGAGAGATGATGAGATTTACTATTTTTCGCTTTGACAAGGGATGGATCTCCAACAGGAAAGGAAAACACTCACGTCTATACACTTTTTCTCGGTTTCTGGCACGTCCATTGCTACAAAGTAGCGGAAGTGTTGTGACCGCCGAGGGCAAAGACACGGGCAGTCGTATCTTCTCCTGAAATTAAACATGAAGCTTGAGTGTACTGTGTAATGTTATGATGAACCAGTGAACGGCATACGACGGGTGAAGGGGCGAGAATCAAAGCGCAGCCGCTGATAGGCTCACCCGCCAATTGTTGAGGACTCTGGTCGGCCTCATTGGTGGGAAATACACCTTAGCAAGCTCTACAATCCACGCCCCTACCACCACACGCCCTGTCGTCTGCAGGATCATGACCGTACATACAGTTGTTAGCACCGCAAACAGTCCGGTCGACTTCAAAAAGAACCGACCCCTCTGTGGCTTTGCCACCACTGATTGTTTTGGCGACGGGGGGGAGAGCATTTCGCGTTTTTGCTACTTCCCATCGAGCCATCTAGAGGGCTATTTCATGACCTTACAAGAGTTCAGGTCAGGTCAGGTTAGGGGACAGCTTCTATCATGGTGGCTCGCTCCAGCTTCATAGGAGCTCGCAGTTTCCGCCAGAGTGAGATATGCAGGCCGGAACTAGTGGAGCAGCGAAACTGCGGAATGCCACCCCCCCCCCACCCCCATTGCCAAACTGCCCCGTTTTTTCCTGAATTGACCAATCGACCACTAGCCGATGACCATTGGTAGACAGGGTACAGCATCGTGAAGTGTGAAATGGTGGCCGTACCCAGGCCCTCTTTTAGGTGGCAGGGGGTCGTACCGAGACCCCCGAAGGAGGGAAAGACGACCCATACGACCACCCTCTTCCGCGACACCTCTTCTAGTTTTTCATCCAAAATTTCCGTCGAGCGGGGGAGGGGGATACATCCAATGTGGAACGGGAAAAACCGCGAAATGGTTCGAGTAAGGTTGTTAAAACATCGATCTACTAATTAAAAACTTGAGAACCATACCTGTTCACCTCTTCGCCATCCTCATTACAGAGATCACAGACGAATTCGATATTTAAACGACACAGTAGGTTCATGTTCGCAACAGAATCCTGCGATCCAACGTAGACCGTGTCATCGATCTGTAATACAGTCCCCATTAAGTAGCTATTGAAAAGAAAGAAACGCCACATGCAACCACAATAGGAGAGGTGCTCACTTGCCAAACCACTTCGCCAACGTAGAGCAGTCGTGAGGCAAGAGGCAAATTTGGAGCAGTTTGTTGCCTTCCCAGGGGTCGTGGAGACGATGGCTCTTCAACTTGCTCTTCTGAAACGCTCGCTCCGCCAGAATCTTTCGTTTCGCCTGACACTGACGCCCGGCCCTGTGCAGATAAAATTACATTCAGTCTTGTGTATAAATCAGGCTGAATGTCTACACATGCTCAAGCAAACAAAAAAAATGCATAACTGACTGATAATGACTTGGATGAACCCTTTTGCCAAATGCGTGGCGTAGTGGCAGCGTTGGTTTGTTGAGGAGGGGGGAAGGGGACATTTCATACCGTGAAACTCCGTACCAATTATTCTTGCGAAGCTACGAAGTGATGCGACACTATTTCTTATGGAACCGTAACATAAGAAAATAAATTAACTTATTCTTGGAAAAAAAGACTATGGAGGTAAACGGCTCTTGCAATTTGCGACAAGCAACTTCGTACATTGCCATCGCCACCGGTTCAACTAAATGGAGCCCTTCGTCGTAGGCTTAGAT